TATTAAAATTAGCGACATGTCGATATACAAAATACGCGTTCCTTTAACAGCCACGTGCGACGCTGTAACTGTACTGTGTATCGGAACTTGCAAACTTTAACTTGATTTTTGTTATTATGTTTTAAAAAAAATTCTAAAATTTATTGTTATATAAGTATTGTACATTTTTAGAAGGGTGTGACAGCTCAACTATTCCGCGTTTTCCGAAGTGTGCGCCTGCGTTGCTTGAGTATTTAGACGTTGACGTGCATAGTTGGGTTCGTCAAGTGCGACTTCAAGGGGGTGTTATTAATGCCAGAGTTGTAATGGCCGGTGCCGAAGCAATTGGGACAAAACATGCCAAGCATAAGCTGGAACGCTACGGAGGACATATAATCACCTCTAAGTATTATGCCAGATCGCTACTTCGTCGTATGGGGTTCGTGAAACGCAGGAGCACCAAGAATGTGAAACAACTGCCGTCCGACTTCGAAGAAATGAAGGCTACTTTCGTTGAAAAAGTGTCAAACGTAGTGAAACAGCACAATATTCCTGACGCGTAAGTGATAAATTGAGATCAAACAGGTGTTCAGATGGCGCCCGGCGGTGACTGGACTATGGATGCACGTGGTTTGCAACAAGTTCCCATAACTGGCTTAGACGATAAACACCAAATCACGTTAGTGTTAGCTATAGCTAAGGACGGAACATTTCTTCCACCACAGTTGATTTACGCTGGTAAGACAGAGAGATGCTTGCCTAAGTGTAACTTTCCTGATTTGTGGGATGTAACGTTACGTACACTGAAAGTCACTGGAGTAATGAAGAGTCCATGTTGCGTTACGTTTAGAAAATCATTGTACCATATGAACAGACTGCCTCTTGTGAAATCTAGTCAGCAGGCCGTAGCTATCTTTGATGTGTATCGGGCCCATCAGAGTCCAAGTGTTCTAAAGAAGTTAAAGGACAATGGTATTACGCCGCTAGATGTCGCAGTAAATTATGATTACAAGGAGGCTCCTAAGGCGCATTTTCACGAGAGGTACACACAACAAGTGATCGATACATTAAATAGTTGTGATGAAAGTACACGCACTCCTGTTGATTTGAAAACTTCAACGCTGAAACCAATCCACGCTAAATGAATCGTTAGTGCACACGCACAAATGGAGAACAGAGGTGATCTAGTACAGACAGGGTTCAGGAAAGCCTAACATTAAATATTGTAACAACAGTAAATGAGTGTTTAGTAGTACCATGTATTTTAAAATGTGCTTGCATTTCTTTTAATTAAGATGTTTATACGCAAACTACCAAGTTACGGATTGTGCTTTAACTTTTAGCAAACTAACGATAGAAACAATTACTGACATTTTTCATGTCAGATATTTAATATGTGCTGTTAATAGTTTATGTCAAATAATTATGTACTGTTCATGTAAATAAATGAGTTGATATTGATAATATGTTTCATTGATTTAAAAAACTAGAAGTAAACAAATTAATGTAACGTACATGACAGTTGTTTTTATTTACGTAGTATTTACGTAGTAGTTGAATAGTATAACCATCCGATTATCATAAAATATGAATTTGGTGAGAAAACAGCAGATGAAATCTAGTAGTCAATTTACTATACGAAGTTATAAATACCAAAGTAATAATATTATAATATACTCCATATCTGTACAAATAAACATTTCATTCAGTGACCGTATAAATACAAATAGCATCCGCAGTATAGTGCGGTTTGACAGTCACGTGACCCTACGTCACTACAATTTCTACTTTCAGTTTGGATTGCACTTGGTAAACAAACAAAAACGGGTACACACATACAAAACTCTTTAGTATGATAAGTATCCGATTAACACCTATGTTTATCTTTAAGTCAATGAATGAAGTACAAAAAATCGAAGGTAGGCACACAGTTTGTCTACAGACGAGCTAGGTATAGAGTAATTTTACATAACTCCCTCTTAGGAAACCCAACAATATAATTTCAGTTTTAAAACAAAAAGGCTACTGACCTGATCTTTGCCTGAAAATCTGTGTGTTTCATGCAAATCATCGTTGAAGCCCAAAAAAAATTCAGACTGAATTCAGATCCGTAGATTTGTAAAAAGTAAAAAGTCGCCCAGTACATTCAAACAGAGATGTTTTATTTCCGATCCTTAAAGATTGTTCAGCACGACAATATTTTTAGTTCTTTCTATCCGGCTATTTTCTTGTTGGGTGGTTCCAGTATTCCTCATTTGAATACTGTTGAGTCGCCCTTAGGATATATGGCCTGCTTTTTAAATTTGTCCTTTGACCTCTTATCTGTGATATGCAGGCTTCATAACCTCTGATCCCCCTATGAAATTCAATTTTATTTAGTTCCGCCCATTGTTTTCTCGTAAAGCCACATGCACCTTTTTACTTGGGGACCATATGCCGATTTTATGAAATGGCACTTACGTGTCACATTGAAGGTTTCATGATAACCGCCATAATAACACATTTGCGGATGTTTCAAAATTTAATGTTAAATGTTGAATTCTGCTTAAGCCGGTGCGAGGGGCGTGGACAGTAGTTTGAACTTGACAGTACCGTCCATGAACAGGCTCAATCAAACCGAGCCTGCAACATTTTCAATTTTGCCGTGTTAGACTTACTTTAGGGATTCTTATTTTCTCTATTGTATCTATTCAATAACCCGCCATATCATGCCATTATATGATTGCAAATGTGCTCTTAACAAGAAAACAATAGATAAGAATGAATGGAATATTCAAGGGAAACTGAGGAAGATTGTAATAGACAGAAGATAACTTGTCCTGAACTACAAATACATAAATAAAGATGTCGTTCTGAAACTTTTTATATTCATTCATATTCATGTTCATGTCATCATATTGTATTGCATTTAACTAATTGTTAGTCCCCTACCGGTTTACCGGAGGGAACTTTAGGTTTACCCTCCGTCCGTCTGTCCGTCAGTCCGTCCGTCTGTCCGTCCGTCAGTCCGTCTGTCCACAAAACTGGATCCCGCGATAACGCAAAAAGTACTGAAAATATTTTAATGAAACTTGAGCGTGGACGGTAACTTGCACTTTCCAGTACCGTCCATGAACAGGCTCAATCAAACCGAGCCTGCAACATTTTCAATTTTGTCGTGTTGGGCTTTCTTTAGGGATTCTGTATTCATCTATTTTTTGATATATGGATGGATGGCAGTATGGAGATTATGCACGTCTTTTTCTTTTCTTCCTATGTTGAAAATTCTGGTTGCTATGGCAACAAATAGACTGAAAATATGGCAAATTTTACACATAACCTGGATCCCGGGATAACGCAAAAAGTACTGAAAATATTTTTATGAAACTTGATATATGGATAGATGGCAGTATGGAGATTATGCACGTCTTTTTCTTTTCTTCCTATGTTGAAAATTTTGGTTGCTATGGCAACAAATAGACTGAAAATATGGCAAATTTTACACATAACCTGGATCCAGTGATAACACAAAAAGTACTGAAAATATGTTTATGAAACTTGACATATGGGTAGATGGCAGTATGGAAATAATGCACATCCTTTTCTTATCTTCCTATGTTGAAAATTCTGGTTGCTATGGCAACAAATAGACTGAATTTCAAGATTTCTGATTCTAGTTTTTAAGTTTTTTCACTATAAGTTCTTTATTTCTTAAGGTATTTTCTTCAAACTTTAAATATAAGTTGCTTGTCATCAACCACATCATATGTGACAAGGTTTACAACTCTAGCGCAAAATTTATCAGAATTACCTCCCTTGAACTTAAAATTTTCATGAAAAAAACATTTTTTTTAATAACTTCTTTTTCTGAATGTATCTATTTCAAACTTCATATAAATGTTTCTTATTATCACTCAACATTTGTGAGTGTTCAATACTCTACTAAGACTATTTCCAGAATTATGCCCCTTTTGAACTTAGACTTTTTTTTGAGAAATTGGTAATTTTTACTCCAACTTCTTCAATCATGGTAGGATTTTAAAAATGTTATATTTTGATAACAGGGATGTTTCAAAAATAACTTTAGAGTGTCCTTCAGTCCGTCTGTCTGTACATTAAAACTGTTTCCTGTGATCACTTTTAAAGAACTTTTTCAACAAATTTACTTAAAATAGGAACATAAGTGAATGGCCAATGGCCCTTCAGAATGTTGCTTGGGCTCTTACCGGTAGGGGACTTATGGATTGCTTGCAATACTATGATAATTGCTTGTTATTAATTGTGTTGTCATTGCATTTTATAACACAGCATTTCAGCTATAATTTACAAAGCAAGTGGGAGTTTTTTTTTATTATAAAGAACTACCAAGTGAGGACTATTTCTGTATTGTTTCAGCACAACCTACCAAATGTTTAAAGAGTTTTTCCAATTTCTAGCTCTGAAGGCCATTTTGTTCAGCGGACTGAAATCATCTTAACAATTTCTGGCAAAAAACACCCTAGAATCATTTCTGAATAGTTGGCTAAATGACAGAAGAGAAAGTTTCATGAAAGTCTTATTTCTGCTCGAACGTCTGGTGGTCATTTTATGCAAAGACGGAACCATTTACGCAATATTTTGTAGAGAATTCTTTATAATGATCATTGCTGTACAGTTTAATCTAAGTCTTCCAAGTTGTTTTAAAGGAGATGTGATTTAAAAGGTTTTTTTTTATTTTTTTTTTATTTTAAGTTCTAGTGGCAATTCTGTTTAGCGGATCGGAACGAATTGAAAAATCTTTATACAAGACTAACCAAGAAATATTCATGTGAAGTTTTCTCAGCAGTTAAAGAAGATATGTTGTTTAGTTAACAGTAAATTACGGACGAGACGGACACATTATGATATAAATTATGATACTATTTCAAAATTGTTTCTCATTCTCTGGCGCTCTGTGAGAATGTTATAGCAAAGATTAATTTGCTTTTATACATTCAAGTAAATATCTATAGGAACAGAACAATAATAATATCCTCTATTTCTATTTAAATCTAAACACTTACTTTAATGCCTGCATAGTAGCTTTTACTGTACATCATGTCAGTTTCCCCGCCAACTGAAGCACCAGGAGGTGTAAGTGCACTGACACCACAATGAATCTTGAAAGATACAATGTGCAATAACTGTCGTCAAAGGTTTTAAGTAACGGAAACTACGATCATTAAAGTGAATAACACCGTTTTAAAAAAAGAAATAAAGAATTTTGCATTTTAAAGGTGCCTACTACAGCCAAATTTACAAGACATTCAAATATGATAGAAAGGGCATATGTATTCCAAGTGTACCTTTTTTTAAGCTGGTTTGTTAATTGTTTCAAAATGTATAGTTTTCATATTTGAAAACTGCATTTATTTTGTAATTTCTTTATCGAATGAAAATGTGCTATGCAGTGTACAAATTACACCATTGTTTCATTATTTATTTCAGTAGCACATTATGATACTTACATCAAAACCCATTTTAATGGAGTTGTCGTGAAGAACGTTTTGGTGAAAAAATAAGTCATCGGGATTTGGTGATGGGCCGTTTGTGAGAAGAAATACTCCGTTCACATACCTGTGTTCAAATTGAATGTAGAGGGTATCTTTAGTGTGAAAATAATGCAATCCTTTTAAATGATATAGACCGATATACTTATATACATGAATCAGTGATAAAAATAATTGTTTGAAATAACGAAAAGCAATAAATATAAGTTATTAATTTCATGTCGGATAACCATTCAACTTGAATGATTTGAAATTTTATGAATACTTTATATACAATTTACTCAAAAAATGTGTACGGTGATAGAGAAGCTGTTCAGGTATAACATGACTAAAAATTATTCTGTCAAAAGCAAAATATTTTCATTTATTGCTTTTGTAAATGACGCTTGGGACTGATAATTATGAATATTTAATTCTACTTTCCAAAAGCCTGAACATTTCCTCGATAACAGCATTTTACAGATGAAATATCATAATTAATTCAAAAATTTGAGAAATTAAAGTACACGTCTGGTATTACCAGTTGACTTTGTAAAAGAAGCCCGTCTGTAGATTAAAAATACATCTGAAGTAAAAATATGGTATATAGTTGATGGAATTTCCAAATGGACCAGATTCTGGTATTTCTGTGAATTTGAGCTCCGGTGCTATGCCTATATGTCCGAGTGCAACATGTAAGTTATTAGGACAACTGGGTTGGGATTGCTTTTCTGAAAAAATTAAACGTATGCACTAATTATCATTTTTCTTGTTATTATTAAGTTATATATTATAGCAATATGAAATCAATTTACAAAGTGTAATTGTATTTACGTTTTAACAGATATAAATGAAATTTTAATGCATTTTCTTCTTGATAGTTGAAATACGTTTGAGTGTTGGTCTGTTATTTGCATTTCTTTATAAAAATAATTAATACTTTACTGAAACAAAATGCTCTGTATAACTTTGTCGGGGGCAGGTAATACTGTATTTCACGTCCACATTTCCTTATCTTCACTTGATAGTGTAAATCGCACGGGTACAAGTGATCAAGTACACATGCAGTTACTGTTATCGGTGTTTCACTCAATGTATCTATCAGTGGATGTGTGTCTGAAGGAAATATTACAATAAATATAATTGTAATATTCAATGTTTCCCAAATGTAAGATACTAGAAATATTAATATGTTACAGTTGTCTTTCAATGGACTTGGTCGTTTATGAGCACAAAAAGATCAATAACAATAATGAAATTCCAGATGCATTCAAAGATTTGAAATATTCATAATCTTAAATCAAAAAACGCTATTTATTTTATCAGGAAACATTTTTTGAAAAAATATATATTATAGTTCTATAATTTAAACATGCATGGCTTAGCATTATAATATATTAATATATTTATGTATAATTTCCTTAAATCAATATAACATGGGCAAATAAAAAAAGATACTCGTCCTCAATGTCATGCTTATAACAGTATATACAACAAGAAAAGCATTGATGCAAAGCATCAAAGGCAACTCCAAAAATATCTGAGCAAGTTTTGCACTTAAATAACAAAAGATGTGTACTTTATAGCAGCACCATTACATGTGAACTGGAGGCTAGGCCCAGTTTAAGTTGAAACTTAAACAAAAAGAATAGACTCTGTCTAGACAATTTATTGTCAATTAACCAGTCTTAAAAGACTCATGCCATAGGAGAGAATTTCTCCAGATTTATTTTTTGAAATGTGATAGCTCAATCGCTACAGCCGCGGTACATTATTGGCGACGCCGGTGAGCGGCGTCGTCTCTTATGGAATGCTTTTTATTTTGGCCTATGGAAGGAGCTATTATTATTAGCAGTTAATGTCATGTTTTATTTTGATTCGTAAAAATCAAGTAAACAAATATGTTGTTATATTTGTATTTAAAAACTTTATGTAAAAAGCATGTGCATTGTGTTATAAACGATTATCCCATTGATTTTATCCATATTACGTTTATCTATTGCACAGAATGATTGTTTTTACAAAGTGTACCAGTATCCGGATGTTGAAAGCTATCCGATTTTCTGCAATTACTGCTGTCACATGGCCATCTAACTTTTTATAATACTTTTGCATTGCTTAAAAAATTAAGCCTGCAACATTTCATAATTTTGCTGTTTAGGGTGTTCTTTTGGGTTTCAGGTTTTCCCTATTTTAAGGGTCTATCTTATGTATTACTTACTATTTTGTTGTATAAAATTTACCAGTTGTAAGGTCATCAAAAGCATAGAGGCCCTGAGTAGTGACTATTGATAGATTGATTTTACTTGCTTTATATACCTTAGACTGGATTTTTCTAGATTGTTCAGTTAGTACATACCTACAGTTATTATTCTACAGGAATATTCTAATCACTTCGTGAAACTAATTATTATTATGTTGTGGTTTTGAACTGTTTCATTATTAAAGAGAAAATGTGAAGCCGGCCGGATAGCTCAGTTGGTCTTCTGACAGTCATGGGTTCGAGTCATGGTCAGGCAGTTTCAGTCAGGGCTTAGAAGTGGTTTTTCAACTGACACATTTGTTACATAAAATCTTAAATTGCAAGGCATTATATCCAAGTACTTTTCGTACTAAAAATAACTTTTAACATGATTATAAACTTCTAAAACAGGACTTTTTACATTATTTACTTGCCACCCTTGAACAAAACTATCGATAATCCATTGTTTAAAACATATTATTATATAATCTATAAATAGCTTTAAGTTAACTTTCTCCGATTGGTTATGATGTAATATTTGATAAAAAATAACTAGTGAATATCAGAATATATTCACTGTTTTTTCTTCTAAAAATAGATTTTCTGAGTATATTTATGGTTTTTCTCTCTCTAAAAACAGATTTTCTGGAAAGCCATGCAATGACGTGACGTCACACAAAGTTTGTTGTTATTTTCTTGGAAAACTTTAGACAACTCCCAAACTGAAATTTGTCTATTTTAGTCACCGTCTTTAAACTTTAAGAATATTTCGAATTAAGCGTGCCAATGCGCTCTTTTAAGTGTCGGTCCCAGATATTTGAAAATGTAGACAAGCTAAAAAATGTCGATTTCCGTCGTATTGAATTGCATATTTGATATGATCCTTTATAAAAGCGTTTTATGAATTATATAAATAAACAAATATGTACTTTTTAGGTGGTAAATATGATGTGATATGTACTTAAAAATAATATTTACCACGGTTATCGCCTCGGTCAATATTTTTTTTCAGTACATATCACAGCATATTCACCAGCTAAAAAGTTCATATTTGTATAATATAAACTCTTTTTACAAACGGTAACAGGCGAATCCCATACATATGCACAACCATAATCATATAATATTTTATTCAGATTTGACAGCCACTTTTTCTATCACAATAAACAATTATCATACGCAATTGTATACTCGTGCTGTAATATTATATTATCTGTTTTGTCCGTTTAAACCAATATTTAATATTTTTTTACAAATCTCATAATATAAAGAGGATATCGCGCAAGTTCACGTTATACCGCAGTTGAGTATGTCGTTGTTTTAAATATTTTTTTTACAAAATTTGAGATGTATTCTTTCATTTTTTTTTGATTTACTGAATCCCGATATTTCTAGTAATACATAATTTAAAATAGAACCAACAAATGAATAAAACAATTGACAAATAAGTTAAGGTTTTAATCTATATTTGTGACAATGAATAAGTAACAAATTTAAGGCTTTCAATGCTTTACCTACTAAATGCTCCTAATTTATAAACTGAACTACCTGTATAATTAGAAATTGTACCCAAATAGTAAAGTCTTATACTATTGTAGAAAAAGTCTTCGTTGCTTAATACTCCGCCTCGCCTCCTTAATACAAAACTTTTGTTTTATCGGTATTTACTTCTAGACTCCATGTTTTATAATAAGTACATAAAAGCTTAAAAGATTGATTTACTAGGGGTATTTTGACTTCTTTGAACTTTTAGAGAGATATAATATCAGTACAACGGTAGATTTCTGTTAGGCATGCTGCTTTAAATGACTTCATAAAACTTTTTTAACAATTGGTCAATACACAAATTTTATACAATACAGTTATATGAACATAAAAGGATGTAAGCTATTTGAAAAGAAGAACCATAAGGCCTTATTTATCTTTATAGAATTTTCTGCCTTTACAATCAGAAACAATTCAGAATAAAGGACAGATAGGTGATTCCTTTTTTTGCCAAAATCCTACAAGCATGCAAAATAAATCGTATTTGTTTTTTTTTTTAATTCACCCTATATGTATTTCACACATATGTAACCTGTTGCGAAAAAGTCAAGCGTAAAAATTGGAACGTTCCTTATCAGAGTTGTAATACCATATTCAATTTATAATATGTATATTCAATTTCTATTTAGATTGCTTTTATTCAAGTTAAATTTTACCTTTCAAGTAAATTGGATAATACGTTGAACAATGACCATAATCCAGTGTTATGCTCGAGTCGACCATGATATATTGCCATCCATTATGTACTGCACTGTACCATTCATAGTTAAGGTTAACATCACTGAGAAACTCATCATTATGTCTTTGGAACTCATCATTATTTCTTTGGAACTCATCATTATCACTGAGAAACTCATCATTATCACTGAGGAACTCATCATAACTTCTTTTGAACTCATCATTATCACTAAGGGACTCATCATTTTTTTTGTAGAACTCATCATAATTTCTGAGGAACTCATCATTATTTCTAAGCAAGTCATCATTATCACTGAGGGACTCATCATTATCACTGAGGGACTCATCACTTTCACTGAGGGAGTCATCATAATCACTGAGGGACTCATCATTATCAGTGAGGAACTCATCATTTCTGCGTTTGAACTCATCATTATCACTGAGGGACTCACCATTTTTTCTGAGGAACTCATCATTATTTCTAAGGAACTCATCATTATCACTGAGGGACACATCATTATCACTGAGGGACTCATCACTTTCACTGAGGGAGTCATCATAATCACTGAGGGACTCATCATTATCACTGAGGAACTCATCATTAAAAGCTACGTTGTTTGAACCGTCTTCTGTTGGTTTACGGCGCGGCAAGTCAGGTAACTGTTTGACATCATCACAACATGTGCAATCTGAATAAATACAATCTACTTACTGTAAGCACTAATTTATTATTCGTAATGCTTCCTTTCATGCTTCCGTTCTACAACTCTTAAATAATAATTGCAAAAAATATCAAAGAGAAACTTACACATACGTAGGCCATTAAGTCAGAGAACAGTTAACAAGTAAATTTTCTGAGTGATTAATTGCAATTGTACTTGAACAAGATTATAAATATTTGTATCACAGCTTTTTCTAAAGTCTATAAAGTCGTACACTCATAGTTTAAAACTTTTCGCGATGAATATGTATCCAATTCATTAAAAGGTATTTCCTAGATTTCACAGAATCGATAAAAAATTGAAATAAAAATAAAATGTGAAAATAAGAATTCTTCTTGAATGTATTAAAAATGCATTGTTTGTCAAACGCTTCAGTAATATCATTATAGGATATTTGATATTCTATACGTATTTCATACCTCTTTAAATTAAATAAAAGAAAAACTCACCAACATGTGGATTACAAACAACAAACAGTATGAAAATACAAACAATCCGTGTTTCCTTCATCGCTGTCTGCGTACTAATGGATATCTAAGCAAACGATATCTCACTATATCAATATTTTTAACTAGTAGGTGCCAAAACCGTTAAATAAATGCCGCACATCAGTGAGTATTATCAAATCATACAGAAAGTACAAAGGACATATTTATTTTATTACCCACAGGGACCCGGCACAATGTTGGGATAGTGTAAAAAGTATTTCGGGCTGTATATTTAATATATAGACAAGGGATTCAACACGCTAAATCGGCCGAATGGCGCTAGTCCAGTATAGTCAAAATTGCAATTTTGACTATACCGGACTAGTGACATTCGGTCAACCATATCTGTCCACCATATCTGTAACGTTTCACTGATTAAAATTGTTAAACAATCCTTTGTTGTATGCTTAAATCGTCTGCATGTTCCAGTTTGACACATAATTATTTACATTGCAATTACTTCCGTTGAAAACGGATGCTCAATTTTTGACTATTCAACAAAAAGATATTTTATACGCGAAAAGCACACTAGGGTACAAACAACTAAATTTTATGAGTCCAGAGAATCGATGTCCTATCGTGGTTTAACGTCGAAAAAAAATGGCGGCCATTTTATTTCATTTTATTTAGAAAATAGACCACGTGACCAGATTTTATACTGTTAAAAAATAATGTTACCTATGTAACAGTACAAAATTCTTAATCACGTGGAACACTTGCATTAACAGTAAAAATAACTCCCAGAGGCCTATGGAAAATTAGCATTACGTAAACAGTGAGGGGTAATTATATAAAATCTGGTTACGTGTTTTTTTCGAAAAATAAATAAAATGGCCGCCATTTTATTTCACGATTCAGCCTCTTTTTTATCGATATTTACCTCGAAGGGGCATCACAGGTCAGAATGACTATGAAAACCCAGACAATTTAGTGGTTTGCACCCACAGTAGAGTATTTTTCGCTTTTTAAATATCTTTTAGTTGAATAATAATAAAAGAAAAATAACGTCTAAAGCACAATAACAACTTGCAAGGTAAAGACAGTTGAGATATTGTTACATTTGGTTCAATGTTGTTACAGGTAGATTTAGTTGAAATTGTCTGATAATCACAGTATTTATAAAATAAATATTATAAGGGTTTGTGAGTTACAGTAAAAATATCATCCCTCGTAAAAATACTGTTACCCACAAACCCATGTGTTATTTATATATTATCACTTGTGTAATATTTGACATGTATTTGATGCAATAAAATGTGTTTAAACTGATCTAAGACTTTGAAAGAGTAAGAGACGTGATTAAAATAACTTCTTCGTTTAGATTTGGTGAACGTGCCAAAATGATTAAGTTCAATATAATGCAACAAAATGACTTAATTACTGTAAATTTGTTAAGATACGTACTGATGTTGCTTACTATATTAATAAAATATAAATTGATGCTTAAGTACGTAACATTTCGGCGTGAAGTTTTTAAAAAAAAACAACAGATCTTTGAGAAATGCTCCTAACATTAAACCGTTCAAAATTGTCACAAGCTGTTGATCGAAAATATCAACCCGCCATATTTTGCACACATTATTATTTAGTTTCGCCCAGTGTTTCTCGTTTAGGACCCGCGCGTTTTGTTAACCTGGTGACCAGACGCCGATTTCGTGGAATGACACGAAAGTTTCACATTGAATGTTCCGTGATAACTGCAGTATGAACACATTTGTGAATGTAACTATCCATTTTCATGTTTAAATGTTGAATTCTGCTTAAGCCGGTGCTAGCGGGACGTGGACGGTAACTTGCACTTTCCAATGCTGTCCATGATATACAGCGACGGTCTCGAAGTTTGATACACATTTTCCTCAAAATAAATGCATAACTCAGACAAATAAATACTACTTTGAAATATGCATAGACCATGGAACTAGCTTATATGATAGTTACTCAATGAGGCTTACCTCTCTGTCCTCGGACGTGGAAGTAAACCCAGGCCCCATGTCTGACAAAGATGAAATTTTACAAGCTATTCAAAGCAGCGATGAATTGTAAAAAAAATGAAATTCAACTATTAAGATCTGATATTTCACTTGTTAAATCTGAAATTAAAAGTGTAAAAACGTTTTGCAATGAAATTAAAACAGGGGTAGATAAAATTGAAGCTAAACAATGTGCCCAAGAAAAAGATGTTTCTGATTTAAAGCAAGGCGTACAACAGGCTCACCATGATAAAGATATAATTCAACTTGACGTCGACTCTTTAAACGAAAAATATGAAGAACAATTCGAAAACTTTGTTATATTTGTAGAAACACAAGACAAAATTGAACGCCAATTAAACCGTGCTTATTTACGAATATTTGGCTTACACCAACTTAAAAATGAAACTGAATCAATGCTGAAATCAATGCTAATTGAAAATGTTTGTATGGTTGCATGTCCCTGGGGATCTTGGAGTAGCGAATCAATTTTGGAGGCCTATCGGATCGGAAAGCCTGATGCTGAGAATAATCGAATTGTCATCGCAAAATTTGCATCAGTAAGTGATAAACACAAATTGTCTACTGGAGGGAACTATTTGAGGGAAAACAAAATTAGAATTTCGGATAAACTTACCACTTAACAAAGAGTTACCTTGAAGGGGTTAAAAGCGCAGGGCAAGACTGGATATTTTCTAAAGGGACAATTACATATAAGAACAGAAAATAAAACAGACGGCACAAGAGTTTTTCGTAATGTAAAACGTAGAGCTACACAAAACATTGTAGATCATCTTGATGACGAAATAAGTATTGAAGATAGTCCAAATGATCGCAATGAAGTTATAAATATGGTATAGCAATCTGGCCAAGGCCCCAAAGTGAATAATCTTAAAATAGGTGTTTGGAATATTGAAGGTCTATTTAAAAAACTTGAATTTGAGGATTTTCGTAATTATTTGACAACTTTTGATATCATTGGTTTGAAAGAAACTTGGGAAGAACATAATCAAAATACAAAACATGTTTTAAACTCACATACTTGTTATTTTTTACCTGCTTTAAAGAAAATGAAACATGGACAGGCCATGTGTGGCATGTCAGTTTATTGTAGAAATGAATAAGTAAAATACACAACGCGTGTTGAGGAATCATGTGGCATTTGAATCATATTACAAATAGATAAATCTTTGGTAAAATTGAATTAACATCTGTATTTATTATTTGTATATTTGCCACCGACCGATTCACCATTTTATGCTGTATTTTATTGTAAGAAGATGTAATACTAAGGTTGTGTACTAAATATAATGTAACAAATTCAATTATAATGGGTGATATGAATGCACGTTGTGGTGATTTAAATGAATATATAGAAACTGAAATTGATATACCCGTACTTGAACAATTTAGTGATATTATTGAATGCCTGATAGACGAAAATCGATGTTCTTGTGACAAATTTATAAATTCTCAAGGCAGACAATTGATCGACTTCTGCAAGACGTATGCTTTTTATATCATCAACGGAAGAATCGGTGATGACAAGAATATTTGCAATTAAACATTTACTTCATCACAAGACGCAGTATTATAGAGTATGTGTTATTTTCAAAAGGCGCTATGAAACTTGCACAAAATTTTCGTGTTGAGGAGAGAACTGAGTCTTCCCATTTTCCTTTACTAACAGAAATCGATGTTCTTTGTGACAAGGTTGAAACCTCTACAAAATCTCAATGTTCTGAAATCAAATATAATTTGAACTACACTTATAAATTGTCGTTCCAGCAAGACCTGGAAAAGTATTTCAGTAATGAAACACTACATAAATTAATATGCGATATAGATGATATGAATAATAATATTGATGATTTTGTGATGAAATTTACAAATATGTTAAAACAAATGGGCAATAATTTTGTGCGACCTGTAAAGAAAGTAGAAAAAATGCTTTAGTCCAAGGTGGTATGATAAAGATTGTTAAAAGTTAAAACTTATAAAATACAAACAGTTAAGAACATATTGAAGTCATAAAACAGAAGAAAATTTACAGCTTTATATACAGACAAGAAAACAATATAAGAATATGTGCGATAGTAAAAGCAAACAGTTTCATGCGAACGAGTTGAAAGATTTAACCAATAGTGTAAATGACTCTAAATCGTTTTGGTCAAAGCTAAAAAGATTAACAAATCGTAATAGTAAGGCAGTAAGTAAGATTATTCAATAGAATATTTCTTTCCGGTGAATATCCAGATAGTTGGTGCGACTCTATTATTGTAACAATACATAAAAAAGGTGACGTTAATAATGTAGAAAACTATAGGGGTATTTCCCTGCAAAATGTCTTGAGTAAAATTTATTGCTGTGTTCTTGTAAATAGGCTAAAAAATTTTGCCCAAATGTATCATAAAATTTCTGAAAACCAGGCAGGGTTTAAAGCCGGTTATTCAACTATTGAAAATGCATTTATTTTAAAGTCAATTATTGATCGTATCCTTAGAAACGAAAGACGTAAATTATATGTCGCTTTTGTAGATTTTAAAAAGTGTTTTGACACTTTAGATAGACAATTGTTGTGGATTTTTTTTAAAGGAAAATGGTTTAAAAGGTAACTTGTTTAAAGCATTTAAAAGTATGTATGTTAAGGTCAAGTCATGTGTTAGATGTAACTACACAAGAAGTGAATATATACAGAGTACTGTGGGTCTAAAACAGGGGTGCTTAGCCAGTCCTATTTTATTTTGTTTCTTTATAGATGAGTTGAAACGATGTTTGTCTGAAAATGATATTAAGGGAATTCAATTACACCCCGACACTTTTCAAGTATTTTTATTGATGTTTGCTGACGACATCGCTTTAATGTCCGATACTCTGAAAGGTTTACAAAGTCAGTTAAATGTGCTTTCAGAATTTTGTGATAAGTATATGTTAAGTGTAAATGAAACCAAAACAAAAATAGTTGTTTTCAAAAAAGGCGGAAACGAAAAATGGACTTACAAAAATACTTACTAAGAAGTTGTCAGTAGCTTTTGTTATGTGGGTTTAAAGTTTACCCAGCAAATATCTATGAATAGTATGGTCCATGATCTGTGTGTTAAAG